CTTCAAGTTTGTCTGCAACCTTCACCAAGAAGAGGCTTGCAAGTATATTTGATGGATCATTCAGCAACTGTTGAACATTGGAACAGAGAAGACTGGGCAGGAGATGATCAAGGTGTTGGAGGAGGACCTGGCACACTGGATGCATGTTAGGTCAGTGCAGGCATGCATGAGAGAGGCCTGAAAGGAGCTGGCTGCTGCTAAAGGCAAGAAAATTTCTTATAATTAGCTCATTAATCTTGGAACTTGATGTTCAGATACGCATTGGCTAATTTTTTGTATATACTGTACATTAATTGATCTCAATAATTCACCTGACACAAGTCTGTTTCACCTGACACAAGTCTGTTTCACCTGACACAAGTCTGTTTCACCTGACACAAGACCCTTTCACCTGACACACACAGAGACAGCTTCCTGCAGTGATTCCCCAGAGCACAATGACCTGTCAAGGGGTATACTGGTCATCTGGGGGCATAATGGGTTGCAATGATCATTTAATTTCATAATTGTACATACTGGTAACTAATGCTAATCTATATCTATACTGGTTCAGCATTATCATGATGGGCCCATGCTTACAAGCAATGGCCATGCCTGATGTGGCCTGGTCAGGGTCCTCATGCCTAGACGCGGGCCGGCAGGCTGCGGACCTTTTCACCAGGCCGCGTCATGGGTCTGCACGACTGTAGATGTCATTCAGCGACTTTACTTGTGCAATCAGCGTTCACTTCTTCCAACTCTGGCATCATGCGCATCCCGTCCGTCCTTTTGGCGATCTTATCGCTCTCAGTCATTGCACATCCGATCCCAGCACCCTCCGGAACACAATCCTTTGATGGGGAATATGCCTTGTGAGCAACCATTCATCGCACATTGTTGTGCTACTGGAGACTCGAGTATTGATTTGACATACAGGCAGAGAAGCACTATCGACGAAATGTATGTTCACAAGGCGCTCGCTATGCGGGACGGGTTTTTTAAAAACGTTGTGGACAAATTTTCCAGCGGCATTGGGTCGTTTAAGAAGAAGAAATAACAGGAGCTCGCCGACGAAAGTCCCCATGAAACGACCGCAAGACTAAAGGCTCAAGCAACTGCAGCTAAGGAAGATTGGAAATCCAAAGAGCAGGACCGTGATGAGGCGAAGGTCCGCTACAAAGAACATCAGCATGCATCCAAGTCGAAGGCGAAGCACGCACAGAATGTATACAAGCAGAAGAAACAAATTGCTGAGCATGCCGAAAAGAAGAAGGACGATGCTAGTCGCCAAAAATTGGTATGGAACTTGCACACAGCTAAGAAAGCACATGGGAAGGCCACGAGTAACGAAGCTACTGCAAAAAAGCACCTCGCAACCCTTACCCGTGCTCATCAAGAAGAAACGGATCCACTCCAGAAATCGGAATTCAGCAACGAGATAGAAACACAAGCAAAAGTCGTTAGCGACGCGACAGCAGCAAAGAAAAAGACTAAGGCCCAGGTTGATCGGTTGATCGGTTGCGGCCGTATTCAACAGAGGAGTCTCTGAGGGTTTTCGCCAAGGGTGATTGGTCTTGATTGTGAGAAAAAGACGGAACTTTTGCCATCATCCCGAACGGACCAATATCTCTTCCCTTTCCATGTTTGCACATATTGGTGGGATGCAGAGCGAATTGTTCACCGAAAGATAACATGTATTCAACCCTATGAGACGCAGTACTCTATAATAAGAGGCGATCTTTTCCCTCTGACATTGTCGCCCCTTCGTACTGCAACCTTTGGTTCGGCCACGACTAACGTCCTCGCGCACTACTCAACATCAGTGACAATATCATTCCCCTACCCTGTACAAACGCGCACGGTGATCCACACCGCCAGAACAGAGCAACTGTTGGTCCGAACGCCGATCTCCACCTCATCATCCTTCAGGAGATGACGACTTGCTCCAGGATTGTGGAAAATCGATGCCGTTAGCCATCCGCCGATCGTTTTCCAACCGCACACGGACACAGTTCTGCGAGTCCGCCAGCAGGATCCCAGAGAAAGAGGAGATGGCTGGAACACACCAGCCTTTGGTACAGCGACATCCACCTCTATCCTGTTGGCACTGTTGCGGGATGCGGCGGACCGGTTGGACAGAAAGCCAAGGCAGAGGGTGTAGACGGATGTGAAGGAGCGATGAAATGAGAGAGTGAACCGAGAGGCGGATGTCGTGGTAAGGCATACCCACATGTAGCGCGGTAAGTGAGAGACAATGTCGTCCAGTAGTAGTCAATCTGGGTGCATGTCAGTAGGGCAGAGAGCACAAAAACACATAAGACGTGCGCCTTATATGCTAGCTTTGTCGAATCACATCACTCACGAATACCTCAATCCAACTCAATCCGTCCGTTACCGGCTATTCAACATATACAACCCCTTCATCCGCATCGCCTTCTTCGTGCAATCGACCCATCACACTCTCGCTCTAATCTCCTGCCCGCAACCAGGACAGGCCCAGGACGGCCTCCTCGACACAAGCCACCGCGAAGAAAAGGGGCGCAGTCATCGGCCTTCGCCGCAGCGTTTGAGGAAAGGAATGAAGAGGATGTGGGAGTACACTGGATTCGTGGAATTGACATTGCACAGCCTTCTTGGCACCAAGATGAACACACTGCATCGGCCTCCTCTGTTTCGCGCTTCGCCCACTCCACAGCCTATACATGGCAATGAGGCCAGTTTGTACAGCACTCGACTAACACCGTTTGCTTAGAAGAGGAATCCCTCCATCCCACCGAGATGGTCGCCCTCGCTCTTGTGCATCAGCCTGTGACTCAGCTTTGGGCAGTGTCTGATCACTACCTTATATCAACAGCATCAAACGGACGGGTAGCCTCGCAAGCTGGCTTCAACTCTCCCTGCCCTCATTTGATTCGTGCTGGTCACGACATATTCCAGTTTTTCTATCTCTTTAACCCACTATCTGTTGCCAACAATATATCATCCTCTAGACTCAAATCATCATGCGAGCTCTGGCACTACTCATTTCCCTTCTCGTTACGTCAGCCATAGCCTATCCAATCCATCGGCCCCGTGATGTGCTGCCTTTGGACGATGAGCCCTTCGTGTGCTGTAACATGCCTGACTGATGTAACAAAACTCCGATCCTAGATGTAGAGAGAGGGGTTTTAATATCGATGCCTTCGACGATGCCGGGTTGGAGGGTCGAGGTACCAAGATACCGTCTCAACCAAGTTCAAGGAAGAAGACTCCTACCACTCCCATTTCAAGCGAGAAGCCTCATTCCACTCCAAGCGAGGAGACTCCTCACACTCCCATTTCAAGCGAGAAGCCTCATTCCACTCCAAGCGAGGAGACTCCTCACACTCCCATTTCAAAGGAGAAGCCGCTTCCTCCCATTCCAAGGGAGGGGACTTCTCACACTCCCATTTCAAAGGAGAAGCCGCTTCCTCCCATTCCAAGGGAGGAGAATCATTCCACTCCAACTCCTCACACTCCTCCCATTTCAAGCAAGAAGACTTGGATGAAGAAAGGCGTGGAATTTCACCCTGCCCACAAGACTGTTCAACCCTTCATTCCCTTCGGCCCTGATAAGCGCCTAGTACCAGAAAAAAGGATCTTAGCGTCATACAAAAGAGTCAAAACCTTGTTCAACAACAGACTGAGAAGGGGGAAAGGCAAGAAGGAGGAAGCTCAGGAAGCTCCACCCGATCCAAACGATGAGTAGTTAACAGAGCCATATAGGCTTGTTGACGCGAACCTCGTCGAACATACTCCTAAGGACAACCCTCAAGAATCATCTTGGCATCATTCTCCTCTTGTTCCTCAAGGTTCATATTCGCCTCATCCTCTTCCTCAAGACGCTGGCAAAGCCCAACAGGAGAATATACTCTCGTCGCCAAAAGCTATGAAGAAACAGGAGAAATTAGCAGAGTAACAGAAGGCAATAACCTCGTGGCGAGGTGCGCCCCCGGGTGAGAAGCCCAACAAAGGAAACCCAAACCGGGTAGTTCATAAGCAGTACTCGTTGGAGACCATCGAAGAGGAGGAGGAGGGCAGTGGGTAGCAGATCGAACAATGGAAATGGCACATTCAGCACAGCGGAGCACATATGTAGACAAAATAGTGAGAGTTACGAGTCGATTATTTACAAGCCTTGACGAGGCCAACCCCTGGAAGACGTGTACCAAAAGAGAAGAGGGAAAGAAAGAGGCCGCTGTACACTGTACTGGTCGAAGGCCCTGCGGAACAAGCGGAGGGGAAAAGGTGTGTTGGTACAACAAGTTCAAGAGGACCAAGAGCAATAGGGGAAAAGGGGACAGAC